CCAATTCAACCAAATAAAATTATAATTAACTAAAAAAATAAACTTTGTAACTTTGTTCTTTAGATTTGATTTTATTACCGTATAGCATGCCATAAAGTACCCTCATTAAATAGTACTCCCATATATTAGTACCCAGGTACTATATTAGTCTAATGGCCTTGAAGATTGATATATACCCAGGTACTATATTGGGTACTATATTATTAATATGTATTCAAAATAAAGCAAAAAGCATCATGTCAGTATCCTAATTTTTTACAGTACATCCTGCTAAACACAGTACCTCTCATACATAGTATCCCCAACCATATACAGTACCTAGAGGGATACTATTTGTGGTTAACATGAGTTTTCTGGTTAATACTCAGGTACTTTATGGTGCACTATACAGTATTTTATAAAAAGATTTTGTTAATATCTACTTTAGTTTTTTATTTATAAGCTTTTAAAAATTATGTGTTTTATATGTTGATTTAAGAATATCCACACTATAGTGGTGAAATTCACCACCTAAGAATTTTTAGAGTTAAAATTAGAGTATTAAAAATTATTTCTTTTTTATATAAAATAATATAGAGCTAACATAAAATTTTAATCTTAGTTTTTATAAATTTTTTGGGGTTCTAAATATTTTTACTTAGAATACCTGATTCTGTTTACTTAGTATATTTTTGAGATATAGCACCTCAGTAAATTTCACCTCTGGCAAGTGTTAAAATCATTCTAAATTAATTTATAAATTAGATTATATAAATTAATTAACTGTTTTTATTGTATAAAACAAACAAATAAAAACAGCTATAATATAAAAAATTTTTTAAATTTTTTTTTTCATACAAAAGTAAAATTTATATAAAAAAAAATTATTATCTTTTTAAAAAGTTACTTGACTAGATAACAAGAAACAATTTTATTTATTTGTATAGCCTTATATATAGTATATATGAATTATATTGTATATTAAATACTAATTTTTAACATATACTGTATAAACTTTAAAGTATTATAATTTTTTAAAATTATAAATCAAGTAAAAGTCTGTTTTAACAAAATTATAGCTTGAATAAAAAGCAACAAATTTTGTAAAAAAATTTTTGCTAAAATTATTTGTTCTTGAGTTATAACATTTTTTTATATTTTATATAATATTTTTTCTATCTGGTACTGTAATTGTAAATTTATTACTATTTGTAAAATTCTGTATCCCTCCTTAAGAATTATTAAAAAAAAATCATTTGATTGTTAGGTAATTAAAACTACTCTGATATCAATATGAAATTATCTATCGGAGTAGTGAAAAGAAATCAAAAATCACCAGCAATCAAGCGATTTTTTTTTTTTTCTTTTTGATAATTTTAAAAATTTCAGAATTTTGCAAACCTTAACGTATACTATTAAAGCTATACACAGGTCGAATGAAGGCAAATCGGCTTCAACCGGTATCATGTAATCCCGATATGAAACAGATATTAGGTGACTTTTAGGATGCAAATCAGGTTCAATACATATCGGAATGCCGATAGCTCTATAGATGAATCGATAAAGCTATAACAGATAAAGCAAGCTTTATCGATTTACCTATATTTATTGAACGCCTAAATGGACTTGATTTGCATCTTAAAAGTCTTCTATTTGCACCAGATATTTGTTTCAATCAGGTTCATATGATGCTGGTTGGAGCCGATTTGCTTTCATTCAACCTGTGATAGTATATACAGTCGCACTCCCTTAAGTGCACACTCCCTAAGTGCACAGTATATGAAAAACTCCTCTAAGTGCACACCCTTTTTGGTCCCAAATAATATAATGATTATAAATTTTAACTCCTCAAAATGCACACCCTCTCTAAATGCACATTTTGCCTTTTTTTTTTTTTTTTTACTATGATCTCGAGGGCGTGCACTTAGAGGGGTGCGACTGTATGTCAAAGAAATTGGTTCTCTAAGTATAACGTAGATTTTATACAATATAATACAAATATAACGAAAAGTATTAAAAATAATTTTGATAAAAATTAACCAATTTTTTTTGGTAAAAACTAACCCGACTAGAATTTGATTCTATTTAAATCTATGGACCGAATTTGGATTATATTATTGAATTTATCCAATTAAAATACGGGCTGGATTTGGATATAAAAATTTGTACATTTTTTGCTGGATCTGGATTACAAAATATCCAGGTCGGCCCATGCAGAACCCTAATAACAAGTAATCGTATTTTGTACACTATAAATAAAATTAATTACTGATCATCGCTATATGGCTGATCGAACACGCCAGTAACTTATAGTAAATTTATTACCAAAATTTTGAAATGTAAATGAAGACAAAGAAATGTAATAGAGTTATTAGTAACACGAACCCCTTTATGTCATCATATGAAACGAATGAATAACAAATAACATATTTATTCCGTCGTGTCGGAGATATTATTCTCTCCATCCCGAAGGTATAGTTGTATTGGGGTTGCGATAATGTCCTGTAAGGTTCATATTAAAAATTTAGCGGCACGTTCAAGAATTAATTTCCTGTGGAAGGAAATTAATGTTAATAATAATTACTACATTTATTTATGATTTCGAATTTCCCCGTTTCCGGAAGAAATAAACAGTAACGATGGTGGAACGTGAGAAAAATTATTGTACAATGCGTATCTAGTTGTAACGCAAACTGGTCATACGTTTACGTTTAAAAAATATTTATAAGTGTTATCAAAACCTTGTAATACAAAATAAATTATAATTTTCGAACGAATCTTAAAAATTTGTTCACGGCAGAGTGAACACTAAAATTATCAATGAAATTTACGTATAATTCCGTTTCGAAGCGAAGACAAAAAAAGGTGAGACATGATCTAAATATAGTTTGAAGATAACAGACGAATCCAATGGTATATCAGTATGCACATTTATAACGTAAACTATACGTAAATGAACAGATGAAAGCAACAATTGCATTGTACCGAAACGTGACATGAAGTTCTGGATCTAAGTTTAGAATTCTGATATTGCATGCAGATCGGAAAAGTTTGATAACCACGAATAATTTAGGTAAGGCAATTTATATTATACTATGAAACTTTTATCGAATTAGGAAACTTTTATCGAATTAGGAAATTTTTTTTGAAGGTAACAAGATCGGTATATTTTGATTGGTCATATAAAAAAGATCGACGTATAATTTGACTGTTTAGTATATTAATTCACGGCTGGTTTTAACGAGTCGACTTCAGTCTTTCGCTTTTCTTGTTTTCTAATTTGACAAAGATTTCTTCCGTTCGACCATTTATCATGCAACAACGGGATGGATTAGCTATTGTATTTTATCCAACATCTCCGTCAAGAAAATTACTTCAATTTCATACTTGGATAACGGAGTATGACTTAAAATATCATCACTCATTTACAGATACTATTCCTACAGCATCTTTTGCAACAATTTCGTCCTCTCAAAAAACTCAGGAGGAAAGAATAGGCAAAGATGGTTTTAGTAAGGTTCCTCATGAGCTTATGATGATTATTATGGATAATTTGGAAGCTACCGACATTCTTTCTTTATCTATGGTGAGTTTTCTTAAATGTCATTATTATATTTTAATTTGATTTAATTCTAATTGTTTGCCAAACACTAGGTGAATAAAAAGCTTAGAGCTCATACTCAAGATAACTATCTATGGCGCCAAATTCTCATAAGAAATTATGGAGAGTCCGTTATCAAGGATGAGCCAAAGCACACAAGTCGCAGATTAAAATGGAAAAGGACAAAACGTAACAAGCAACCACAAGTAGAGCCTAATTGGCAGAAGGTCTTTTTTAAATTATGTAAGTTTATAGAGTTTTTCGTTATTTACTATATTTAATTGATTCAGAAAGTTCTTACAAATATTACTGAACAGCAACTGTTAAAGTCTCGACGAAAACTGCAATTTCGCGAGGAAAGCCCGGTGCTTATTACCGATATAGATATTTCGATCACAAATCGAACGATTTTAGGTATTTAATTTGCGATTTCAATTGCACATATACTTTATTTAGTCACGTACATAATTTTAATTTTTTTTTTCCTTTTTTTCTTTTTTAATCTTAGTCGTTACGGCAATAGAATTAGACAGAGACAGCGTTCATATGAGGTTTGTTTTCTTTGCAACGCCTGTAATTTCCTATTTGCAGTAAATAATTTATTTAATTATTTTCTTTCATAGATTGAGATGACTATTAGTAATGTTCCACCTGGTGTTTATGACATCATATGGCGAATGAGGATTGACAAATTCCTTTGTAGACCAGTATTGACTTTTGCTACAGATATTTGGTTGCGTGTATGTGTTCTTTATGAGTACTATAGTCATAATGCAAAAAATTGGCAGTTCCACGATCACGTCGATCTTGATGTTAACCGAAATGTAACGGTTAAAAGCTAGTGGTCATGAGTTATTTCCGATTTCTTAGTCTTTCCCTTTACATTTAATCGTATTTTATATGAGATTCTACAATCAAATTTAATCAAATTGGGGTATTAATGACGGGACCGCCAAATTTTTGTTACAGTTCTTTATCTTGAATTTTTCATGCTCATTTATTTTTCCATTTAATTAGCATGATATATATCTAAATTCTTATGAAAGGGAATCAAAGTTCAAATTTTCACCTGACCCGGATAAACTCCAGGAAGTATTTGACAAAGGATGGTTTCATATTCGATTACCTTACAAGATTACAATTGCTAAGAAAGATCAATTCGATGACAGAAGGTATCAAGTACATACCGGTATTTCTTGTTACGCTGAAGATTTACCAAAATCTAAATCTTCTAAAGGTCCTTTTGTATGTATCTTGTCATTCCGATGGATTATACTATCTATGTGTTATTCGTTATTAACGAGCTTTTTTATCCATCAAATATAGTCAGTGGATTATGTATGTTTACGTCCCCACATTCCATATGACCATGTAGAAAATCCACCAATTATTGAACATTTAGAAAATGATTATGAAAGTCTATATAGCGATAACGAATATTATGATTATGACGCACGAAATGTTAATGATGAAAATTTTATCATTTCTTCAAAGAGGAAAAAAAAATTGATCAAATTTTTATCTTGCAGTGCTGGTAATATGAATTCCAATAAGGACAGTCGTCTTTATGGAAGTGTTAGCGCATACACCACCATAGAGAATGAAAATCGCCATCGTAACACTTTGTAGAATAGATTTTTTTTTTTTTTTTTTTTTTTTTTTGTATCATATCATTAGATTCTCCTCTACCACCAATGACTTCGGTCACTATGAAACATTAAATTGATTAAATTGAAGAGATTAATTTTTTTTTTTATATATATATAGATAAATTATATACCTTTAAAATTAGCATTAATATTCTTCTAAATTGTAACATTAAAAGTTTAACATTAATAATAAAAATTAATAAACAAAAATTTATGGTTTGCTCGTGTAACATCAAAACCAATTAAATGTGCAATTCTAATTAACGTTAGCGCAATTTGGAACTTTTTACAAGTTGTAAACGATAATTACCGTCGGTGAATATCGAGAAAAATAGGTTATTAAAGTCTGATTATTTTATTGGTTAGCGTTATGTTGATAAGAGGGTTGAGCAAATGCATAAAATATAAAATAAGATAATACGCAAAAACATACAAAATTTTATTTTATTTATTAGATAGAAATACAATTAAAAAAAATTTTTTATTTTTTTATTTTTTTCTTTCAATGAACCGGGCATGTCTTTGTGCAGCACTTTCTGCACAATCGGAGGCGAGATCATCTATATAAACTATAGATGATCTCGCGCAAACTCGAAAAAGAAGTGCCTGCACAAAGTAGTGATTTGAACCGTAATCAGGTAACCGAATCGAACCGAACAAACTCGGTTAACCGGTTGAGTCATAGACAGAAATTCGTTTGATTCGAAAATATCATTTCTAGCTACTTCATATTCAGAGAAGTTAGCTTAGACGCAACTAGGTAAAGAAAAAGAAAAGGTTTGTTTGAATTTTAACACGTATTAAAAAGATAGTTACTAACAAAATAGCTAGTTTTTTTTTTAGAGCTCGGAATTTCAGATTTGGTTTTTGAAGCAGAATAAGCTTGTTAGCACTCTAAAATTGGGTTGGTTTTTAAGTTTGGGTTTATAGATCGTAGATATGAGTTTGGGTTCTTAGATAATTCTGCAGTTAGATTTAGTATGATTTAGTACTTGAACACTGCCTTTACTCCTCTTTACATATATCTCACCTATCTTTTATATGTATTAATCAGTGTTATTACCGATTCGTATAAACTTTTTTCTTGAAATTTTCGTTTTTAGTACTATAATGTAAAAATAACGAATAAAAATTATGTAATTTGATTGGTTAATAATCACGTGTAGATTTGCAAGTCGATCCAAAAAACTAGCCAATCTCTGTATAAAGTTTTTACGTTATATCTGAAACGCGTAAATTTATACGTACGCAACATGATGACTAGATATATAATGTACCTAAAAGGATGAATGTACGATCATTTCCAATTTTTCTTGGATACGATGAACGAACTATATCCTGGATACGAGGGTAAAGATTCAAATTTGCAAATTTTCTTATTTACAGGCTAATCAAATATTTTTGACTTTTTTTAGCTGTAGCCTTATACTTTAAGACGGACAATATCAATATTTCATATGAGTGTCGCCAAAAGAAAACCCGACAATTTAAATATAGTCTATATTTAAATTGTCGGGTTTTCTTTTGGCGAC